TCTCAGACTCGTTCCTCCCCTTTCCTTATTTTCCTCTCCCACATCTCGCCAAATCTTCTCGTCTGTAATTTCGGTCGTACGCTACACACACCTACCCGTTGTTTCGATTCTCTCTCTCTCTCTCCACTCGGACTGTGTCGGTCGTCGTTTTTTTTAGGCGTGATAGTACAGATCTGCCGCTGCCGCCGCGGACCGGTTACTCGCATGTACCTTTTGTTGGTGTATGCCGTTCAGAAACGGGCCGGGCAAAAAAGGATGATAGTAAATGTCAGGCCTTCTCTGCATAAAGTCCGTTTCCTTGACGCCACCGCTGTTGGTCATTTGTAAGGGCGGCGGCAGCTCCAGAGACATCCTCCGACCTCTTCTAGAAGTTCCGTTGGTCCACATATGCGTTCCCATATGTACCTGCAATACGAACGAGTTAGGCATTAGATTTGGAAAATATTTAGCGAACGCATATCGTGACACGGTATATATATATATATAAGAACCGTTACAGCCAATTTTAAAAAATCAAATATATATTCTATTACGTTACAAAATTTAAATTTGATTTTTTGACATTGTCCAATATGATGATTTTTGGGCTATCATATAGTAATTGACTATGTTTCGATTACCACCGTTCTTACCTTTAAATTGCCTTTGGTGGTAAACGCTTTCAGACAAACTGTGCATCGGAAAGGTTTGTCGCCCGTATGAGTTCTCATGTGTATCTGGAGAGCGGACGATGATGAAAAGTTTTTGTTGCACACGTGACATAAATGTTTCGGCGAACCTATGTTAGAAAATTACTCGTATTAGTAAAAACATATTATATATATTCTATCTATGTTAATGCTCATGTGTTGGCACAATGTCTCATATAAAAAAATTGTTTTACAAAAGAAAAAAAATTCGCTCACAATCGTGTGAGTTACTATGATGGATGAAATAAATTCTGAGGTTATGGTGGTACTCACTCGGTTGTCTCTTGGGTATCGGTAGACCGATATCGGAATCCGGCAACGAACGTTTAGGTGATAACGATAGACATTCGCCCTTTCTGACGTTGTTATTGTTATTATTATTATTGTTGTTGTTGTTGTTAACGATGACGACGTTGCCGGTGCTGCTGTTCACGTTGTTGTGGTTTTGAACGCCGCCATTTGTCGCAACGGTAACCGTCGGTGTCAACGAAGACAACGGTGACGGTACCGAAATCGGTGGCAAGACTATAGGTTTCGGTTGAGTTG